CGCCCATCCCAGCGCGCGAAGCACAGCCAAGAGTTGGAGCCGCGAGGCGGCACGCGCCCCTCTTTTGCCCCCCTGCGAGTGGCCTGGCCTGCAGGGCAGGATCAGTCAGCGCCACATCGGGGACTCGCATCGAGTCGGGATATGCGCCGGATCGAGATGCATTGGCACGGAGATGAAGTCGAATCGGATCGGCCGCGCCAGGATGCAGAAAAACGCCGTGCGTGCATCGGTCCACAGCGCATCGTCGGGTCCTCGGAGTCGGGTCGGATCGGGCCGGCCGAAATCGATAGATCGAGCCAAATCGATGGGATCGGGAGGGGCCCTGCAAGGGTCGTCGACGGGTGAACTTCCCCATCACTTCTGCGACGCGGGACAGCAATCTGGAGGCATCTCAGGGCCACTTTCGGGGACGCCGGCCTCTTGCCCCCGTTGGCTGAGGGGAACCTTCGGCGCAGGGGGGGGGGAACATGGAGCTCCAACCGGCGATGCATCGCCGATGAGTGGGCGATGGGCGACCGATAGCGGAACAGCGCGTTCGTGGGTGGGGTGAGGCCATCGGGCCCCCGTCGGGATCAATCAGCGATTTTGGATCGATGCAGCCCCCCCTGAGCCTATCCCCCCTAACGTTGCCCCTGGCTCCAACGCACTGCGCCTCCAGCCGCCGCGCTTCCATCGCCCTCCTCCTTCCGTTCCTCCTCCTCCTCCTCCTCCTCCTTCCCCTCCTGCTCCTCCTCCTCCTCCTCCTCCTCCTCCTCCTCCTCCTCCTCCTCCTCCTCCTCCTCCTCCCCCTGCTCCTCCTGGATCCCGCTCTGCGCCTGCTCCTGTGGCGAGCTGCTCGAATCACAAGGCAGCCGTCCGCTGCCAATTACATGACATCCTGCAGCGCGGCGGGGCATGATGTGCGCAAGGATGGGGAGGATGGGACTCGACGTCTGCGACAGCAACGGTCGGGCTGCACTCCAACCGAAGCTGCAAACGTGGAGCGTCGGACGAGGAGCCCATGGCTCATCACGAGGGCGTCGCTGAAGGGGCCCTGGGACACACGCAAATGAATAGATTCAAATCCCAGCATTCCCCGTATTTGTCCACAGGTTCTTGGTTTTCGTCTTCCCCCCACGTCCCATATTTGTTCATCTTTTCATGGGGGTCGAGGATTCGTTGTGTCTGTGCTTTTCCCCTCCTGAATCGTGGGCAATCGAACCTGCCATGACAAAACGATCTGGTTTCAATTGCATGTTCTTTGAGGCGTTCATAGCATCGCGAGCTTAGCTCGGCTGCGATGCAAAGCTGCACTCGCCCCCGCGAAAGAAGTGGCCAGGCAGACGCGCCGGACATGCTGCTGCTTCCCAGAGAGCGGCGATGGAGTCTACCCACGCAGGCCGCCTCGAAGATTGCAGGCATGCCCGACGCAGGCAAGAGTGAGGGACCAATCTGCCGACCGCTGCAACAGAAAGGCACAGCGCGACAACGAACGGCGCTGCACACCCGTCGAGGATGCAGCTTCGGGCGGCGGCGGCCGGCCATGCCGAACACCGCCTCGACACTCCTGAGTGCAGAGACCCGGAGACGCGACGAGGGCCCTCGGGAGGGCACCCCGTGTCTGACGCCCACGGCCGCATCCTGCTCCCAATCCCAGGTATCGGGGAGACGTAAGACCCGGGTACGGGGGACTCGGAGATCCCCGACGGGGCCCTCATAGAAATGGCGAGGCCGAGCCTGCCTTTTGACGAGGCCTCCCGCTGCAGACATCCCACGAAACTCCTGCTCGTCAAACTCCGAGTCGCGGCCGTCAAAAAAAACGATGGCGAACCCGAGTCCTGGCAAACCCGGGTCGTATACGCTCCCCATCCCAGGTAGGACGAGCAGGGCGGGTGGGACAGCAACGGGGGGGCGGAGGCAGCGACCCCGCTGCAGCCGCAGTGCTTCGAGGAGGGCGCCCCGCGCATCCCCCGGCGACGGGGCCGAAAGCAGCTCCTTGCAGCAGACTTCGTACCCCTCCCCCTTTCCTGGCTGCCCTGGGAACCCAGACCCCCTCGAGTAATGAAAAAATCATGACGGGAGGTTTCTCCTAATTTTCGGCCTCTGGGGGCCCTCACCGGGCCTCGGGAGCGTCAAAAAACGACTCAGGACGAAAAACGGGTCCCGGGGAATGGGTCTGGACCTCTGGGGGTCGCGTCATGAAAAAATCATGACGTCGGGGGTCTGGGGAGGCGGGGGGGGGGGGGGGCGGCTCCGGGGGGGAAACGCCGACCCCGGATCGGCGACACAGCAAGGCCACATCGCCGTGGGAGATCGACGAGTGGCCCCGGACAGCGAGCCCGCGCGCTCCTGGGCGGGGTGGGCGGCCGGGCCCCTCTCGGCGAGGAGTGGGCGATGGGCGATCGGGGGCCGATGCCCCCCTCTGAGCCTGTCCCGCCCCCAGAGTTGCCCCCCTGGGCTGCCCCTCTCCAGCTGGACCGCCCACCCCACTTGAACGAAGGATTGCAAAAAAACAAAAAACCCACTTGAACGAAGGATTGCAAAAAAAACCACTTGAACCCTGAAAAAACCCACTTGAACGAAGGGTTGTTTTGCAATCCTTCGTCAAAGTTGCCCCCCTGGGCTGCCCCTCTCCAGCTGGACCGCCCACCCCACAGGTTGCCGGCCCTCGGGCCCCGGAGGGTGCGGCGTGAGTGGGCGACGCGGGGGTCGCTGTGCTGCCCTGCTCCACGGACCACTCCCGGGGCGCACTCGGACCAAAAGTGCGAGGAGCATCCAGCCGTGGCGACGAGGGCCCTCCAGGACGAGCAGCGCCACTGGTACCTTGTCGTCCCCTGAGCCCCCCCCCGCCCAGCGTTGTCCCAGAGCCACCCTGCCCCGCAGGCGGGGCAGGATCGCTCTTGGAGGAGCAACAGAAAGTCAGCCGACCCCTTGGGGTCACGGCATGAGATGCTTCCCCCTCCCGAAACCCTTACCCCTCCCGGAACCCCTTCCCCAGGAGCCCGGTCCGGCCGGTTTGGAGGCGGGGGCGGGGGGGGGGGGGGTAAAGGTCTCATTAGGCCCCACGAGGCCCCAGAGGGCTCCAAGCAGCCCCCACGACGGCCCAAGAGGCCCCCGAGACGCCCAAAGGTCGGCCCAAGACGACCAGGATGGCCCCAAGACGGCCCCAGAAGCTTCCCAACGGCCCAGGAAGCCTCCAAGAGCATCCCCAAGAGGGGCCCCAGAGGCCAAAATCGTCAAATTCCGACGGGAAACGTACACTTTTATCAGACGCGACTTTTCGGCTTCCACGGCGTTGAAGACAGCCCCAGAGTCCCCCAAGACCGCCCCAAATCGGCCCAAGAAACTCCCAAGAGGCGCTCGAAACGGCCCAAGAGGGCGCCAAGACGGCCCAAGAGGCTCCCAAGACGGCCCAAAGAGGGGCCCAAGAGGGGGAGCCTGAACCAACAATCCGAGCCTTCCGCCCCAAAACGGCCCCGGGGGGGCCCAAGAGGCGCCCAACAGGGCCCATGAGGCCCCCAAGAGGCCCCCCAAGAGGTCTCAAGGGGCCCCCAAGAGGCCCCCCAAGATGCCCAAAGTGGCCCCCAAGAAGCCCAAAAGAAGCCTCGAGTACCACGTGAGGCATGTAACTTCTAACCCGCAACCCAGGCATCAAGGATCTCAGGCCGACAACCAAGGCGCGGTGGCGGGATGGGCCGAAAGCCACGATATGTGTATGTGTATGTGTATATGTATATATACATACATATATATATATATATATATGCATGTATGTATATGCATATGCATATGTATGTGTATGTGTATGTGTATGTGTATGTGTATAGGTATATGTCTGTGTCTGTGTCTGTGTCTGTGTCTGTGTATGTGTATGTGTATGTGTATGTGTATGTGTATGTGTATGTGTATGTGTATGTGTATGTGTATGCATGCATGCATGCATGCATGCATGTATGTATGTATGTATGTATGTATGTATGTCTGTGTGTATGTCTGTATGCATGTTTGTATATATGTAAATATACATCTATATATGTACTGCCGCTGACCACGCATCGAGCGTTGGCGATGGCGTCGACACGCGCGGCCCGCACTCCCAAGCTGCTTCGGCTTTTGGCCGCCCTGGTAGCGGATCGCACACGCCTGCAGACGAAAAAGAGATCAAGGCAACTAGAATTCAAGAAACCAGTGCCATCTTCCAGGAAGTTTCTTGAAACAAGCCTGGGCCGATTTGTGTTTTTGACGGTGGAGGGGCAAACGTGCTTAAGAAACTGGGCCAGCTTTCGGACAAGTCGGTTAAGAAACGCTGGCTCAGCTTGTCGGGAGACGGTTTCTGAATCAGGTGACTGCAATCCCAGAGATGCTTCGGCTTTTTGCTGCCCCGGTGCATTGTGTATTGGTGACATTCGCTCTATCGTTCGCAACCCTGCTTCGGACCTTTGCCGCCTTGGTGTTGATTCTTCTGCCGCTTCTCATTCCCAAGCTGCTGCGGCTATTGTCGCCCTGGCTCTGTGGATGCGATCACGCCCTCGTTCCGAGACGCTCCGGCTTTCGGCCGCGCCGGCCTCTGAGGCCGCGCGCGCCCCGTGCTGCAGGCACGCAACTCCCCCACGGCCCTGGACAAGCGGTGGCGCAACTCCCCCGCGCCCCCGTCCTCTCGTGCTCCAGTCTGCTCCGGCGCGCCCCGCCGCTGCCCACACAGAGTCTGATCCCTTGCGGCCGCTGCCGGACAAAGCGTGCGGCTGCTGCTCGGCACCGCACTGCAAAGGTCCTATAGCCCTGCTGCGAGGTCGTTTGGCAAGAAGGCTTGCCGTTCGAATGCAGCACGCGTGTCAGTTCACACCCACGCCAGGAACTGAAACGAGGCTCTTGAGACCACAGGGGCCGCAAAATATGGCAAACCGGGTGGGCTTCAAAAAAATTGCATGGCACAAGTGCTGTATGCTGACAGCTCATGCGCGTGCTCTGGCATACCAACTGTTGGCATGTGACGGTCTATGACGACGGGCCGCGAGGCAAGGTCACCTCTTGATGCAGCACTCGAAGAAGACGACACCGCTGCGCCACCGGTCCGATTCGGTCCCGGAGTCATCCGCGTCGCGGGAACTGTCGTCGTCGTCTCCAAGAGAAGTGTACTTGTTGTAGGCCAGCACCTGGGGCAGTGCAAAGGGGGGTCACCACTAGGGGGGTCGCCACTTCCTCGAGGAAGCGCCACTTCCTCGAGACTTCCTCGAGGAACTGGGCCCCCCAGAGCCCCGAAAACGCAAAGAAACGTCCAAGAACATCCTCGACCCCTCGACTCTCCATCCTGGAACCTCGATTTCCAGGAGAAGCTGGCGACCCCCCCAGTGGTGACCCCCCTTGGCACTGCCTGAACACCGTTGGAAAGCCGACCCCGTCCGACTCCGGGCGGGCCGCGCACCGCGAACCGCGGGACGACTCGTCGTCGGAGCTGGTGCTGGGGCTGCTGCTGCGGACCCGGCAGCTCTCGAGGTCCGCGTGCCCTGCCTCCTGCGAGGGGCGACGCTGAGGCAATGTCTGCGTTCCTCCTCCTCCTATTCTTCCTCCTTCTCCCTCCCTCCCTCCCTCCACCATCCCTTCCAATCTCCCTCCCCCTCCTCCTCCTCCTCCCTCCTCCCCTCCTCCTCCTCCTCCTCCTCCTCCTCCATCTCCTCCTCTTTCTCCTCCTCCATGTCCTCCTCCTCCTCCTCCTCCTCCTCCTCCTCCTCCTCCTCTTCCTCCTCCTCCTCCTCTGCTCCTCTTCCTCACCCTCCTCTTCCTCCTCCAAGAAGTTCTATGAGGGGGGGGGCACGCCGACGCAAAATCGGCGATGCATCGGCCAGGGATCGGCGAGAGGCCTTCGATTGTAAAACCTCACGTTCCTGGGCGGGGTGGGCTATCGGGCTCCTCTTGACGCTCAAAGGGCGATTTGGGATGGATGCGTCCCCTCCCCCCCCACCCTTGCGTCGCCCCTGACGCCTCGCGGTCAATCCGCCCTCCCGGGACCTCTCGGGCCGGGAGGAGGATGGTTTGCTAGGGGTCGGTGAGGCCGCCCCTGAGCATTAGTAGGTTTCCGGATGACCACAAATTTGGGGCCAAATCATGGGATATACGATGGGAGGGGGTGTCCGTCCTTGATGCGGGCGCGTCCGAATATAGCCCCCCCTGGGTGTATATTTCAAGGTTCCCACCCATTTCTGAGCGGTCGAACTGTTCGGCCGGAACTCTGGGATTTGGGGAGAAACTTCGCCTGTGACCCCAGACCCCCGACGCCATGATTTTTCCATGGCGTCGACTCTCAAAGGTCTCGGCCCCTTTCCTGGAACTGGCCTTTCAACCCGAGTCGTTTTTTGACGGTCCGCAGGGCCGGTAAAGACACCCAAGGGCAGAAAGACCTATCGTCATGATTTTTCATGACCCGAGGGACGCATGTTTTGATTCGCGGCCAGAGCGGGCATTATGGGGGGGGGCAGGGCGGGGGGGGGGGGGCGGGGGGCATCACGTAACGTCCCCCCCCATCCCCCCACCAGACTGCGGTGCCAGGCGCACTGCAGCGGTGCCGGGGACGCACTGATGGGGGGGGGGGAGCGTGGCATCACGGGGGGGGGGGGAGGGTGAAGGGGGGGGCATGCCGCGCGCCACCCAGACCCCCGACGTCATGAATTTTTCATGACGTCGACCCCCAGCGGTCTGGACCCTTTCTCCGGGACCGATTCTTCGTCCTGAGTCGTTTTTTGACGGTCCCGAGGGCCGGTGAGGGCCCCCAGAGGCCAAACACAACGAAAAACCTCCCGTCGTGATTTTTTCATAACGCGAGGGGGTCTGGGAACCCTCTCGAGGGGCTCCGGGGCTCGCTCCTCGCGCTCGAGCCGCCGCCGCCGCGGCAGCGGCAGGCGGCGCGGGGGCCTCGGCGTGGGCGGCGGCTGCGCGACCTCGCGGGCGGCGGGCCGCGGCGGCGGGCGCTCGGCCTCCGCGCGCGGCCTCCACGGCAGCAGCGGCCGCCGCGCCGCCGGGCGCTGCGGCTGCGAGCGGGCGTCGAAGGGCGAGCTCCTGGTTGGACGTGGCTTACTGGGGGGGTCACAAATTTGGGGGGGTCAGAAAAGGTCCCCTTTCGTGCCCCTTCCGGGCCCCTCCAGAGCCCCAGGGGGCTCGTTTAGGTACCATTTGGGTGCCTTTTCGGACCACCCTCGCCACCCCCCATTTATGACCCCCCCATTACGCAGCGCCCAACCTGGGCGGAGCGGGGGCCAGCCGTGTCGGCATCCCCGCAGGGCCTGCCACGGCAGCTTCTCTGAGGACCCAGGAAGGGAGTGTGCTCCGAGCAGGAGCCGTGCCCTCTGGCGCAGAGGGGGCCGACGTGCCGAAGCAGAAGGCTGCCAGCGAGAACTGGCGGGTGCTGAAAAAGCCCTGGGGCCAACCATGTCGTCATTTCTCGGGGGCGCATCTTTTGCTTCCGCCGCCTTCCGCGCGGCCATCCGACGGCCTTCCGTTGGCTTCCGCCGCGGAGGCGGTCTTGCTTTACTTCCGCCGCCTTCCGCCGAGGAAGAGATGACAACCCCTTCTACCCTCGGAGGCACGGCCCGTTTTGAAACCTCAAATGCTCTCTGGACACTAGAATGCTCTACGAACAGAAGCAGTGGTCTTAGATCAGAACGCCGACGTGTTGGAACAAAGCGTTCTCGGCCAGAAGTCTTCGTAGATAGTTTCGCGCAAGCCGCAACATCTTAGACCAGTCTTTGGTGGGCCTACAAGCGAGCCAGGACGTTTCGCTACTGCTCGACGGGGGGGGGAACCCCAGACCACCTCGGGCCCTGAAAAACGCACGGCGGCTGTCTTCCGCAACCTTCGGCCTCTGGGCGCCCCTGCTGGCCCTCGGGGCCGTCCCAAACCACGGCTCGGGATGAAGAACCGATCCCGAGGAACGGGCCGAGAACGCTACGAAAAAAAAACATTAACCCCAGGAAGCATTTAAGAACCCCCCCGGCGATATCGTAGCACCGCATTTTTTATTCGATATTCCGAAAGGCCGAAATAACCGAACGATAGCTGTAGCACCCGGACACGATGATGATGATGATGATGATGATGATGATGATGATGATGATGATGATGATGATGAAGATGATGATGATGATGATGATGATGACGATGATGATGATGATGATGATGATGATGATGATGATGATGATGATGATGATGATGATGATGATGATGATGATGATGATGATGATGATGATGATGATGCGGATATGGATGATGGTGCGGAAGGGTTATCGATTTGCCGGAGGGGGGGGGGGGTTCTTAAATGCTTCCTGGGGTTACGTCGGGGGTGTGGGATGAGGCGGCGAGGCCTGTGCACAGCCGCTGCCCCACGCCTGGCCCAGCCTGGGCCCCGGAGCCGTGCGCACGCCTGCTCTATATGGCAGGCCCAGGGACGCACGCGCACGGCGCCCGGGCCCCCATGGTGGCGCGGGCCGGGGGCAGTGGACGTGTGCAGGTCTCGTCGCCCCCAAAGCAAGTGCAGGTGCCGATGCTCCCCTGGAGCTCTCCAGGGGCTTGAGCAGGGACCAGCCGTCCCGGCAGTTCCTACAGGCCTACCAATGCTCTTAGAGCATAAGCCCGAGGTGCTAAAGCAGGACTGTCCCCGCCAGAAATGGTCAAAGAACATTTCAACCACAAAAGGTTCTTAGAACATCTTTGGTAGGCCTATGTGCACGCCTGGACGCTTCGCCACTTCTTGAGGGGTGCGCTCTGACAGGAGTTCGGGACGAGGCCGGCCGCGGCGGCGAGGGGAGGGTAGTGGTATGAGCATCTTGTCCTCCTCGGAGGTCCATCCCCACGCGCCCTGCGCGAACATCGCAGCCTGCCTGAGTTAGGAAGCAACTCCCGGGAGGTCTTCGAGAACGGTTCTGAAGCCCGATGGAGGAGTCGTGAAGATGGATCAAGCCGGATCAGGCCAAATCGAGCCCAGCAAGCAGCCGGCGAGAGCCGGATGAAGCGAGACGGAGCGGAACTTCAACCGAAAGTCTGATCAAGATACTTATCACTGAAGAAATCTGGGCCAGCTTCCTGGAAGTCTCTGAAGACAAGCCTGGGCCAAGTGCTCGCATTCACGCTGGAGGGGCGAAAACGCTCAAGAAACTGGGCCAGTTCTCTGCCAAGTTGGCTAAGAAACGCTGGTCCAACTTTTCGGGAGGAAGTTTCTTAATCAGATGCTCGTTTGTAAACCGGATGGTGCCCGCTTCGGCTGATTTTTCTTCGGCCATGGATATGCTCTGGCTTCTCGGGTCGGGCGAAAAGGGGGGGATAGCAAAGGGGGGGTTTGAGAATCAGCTCACGTCGCTGATTTTCCTGGCGCCTCCCGGCGCCGGAGGGCGGCTATGTATCGAGGAATGGGGCCCCTCGGTGAGGCCGAAACCAGCTGCATGCAGCAAATTTCGTAACCCCTTTCCCAATCCCCCCTTTTCGTCCGGCCCGATTTTTTCTTCGATCCGCTCTGGCTTCGATGCCGACTTTGGCCTCCCGGGAGTCGCATCCGGGCCTGCGGGCGTGCCGCCGCGCGGGCGGGCAGGAGAGCGCAGAATCGAGTGGATGAGCCGGCTTGGCGGTCGAAGTGCACCTGGCTCAAGCTTTTGGCTCTCAGTTTGGAGGGAGCTCAACAGCCAGTCCGCCATCCCAAGAGGTGGGGGAGCCAGAACAGACTAGCACAGTGCAGATTGACCGCGAGGCCGCAAAAGAGCGGAGTCGAGTCGGCGGAAATCTGCATGCCGGTGGGCCTCCATGGAGAGATCGGAGCTCAGATCGGGACCCGAAGTCGAACCAAGTCGGAATCGGGGGTCGTCGAGATCGAATCGAATCGACTCGGAAGAGTCGAACTTGGGAAAGCCAAAAGGTACTGATACCGCCAGTCCCTGGAACTCTCCCGGGGTGCCTTCTGACCAGGATTTCGAGGCGAATCCAGCGGTGGTCACGAGGGCCTCCCAGGAGGCCCCTAAAAGGGGAAAACGAGGGAAGGGTAGTACACGTGGTATGGGTACCCTTTCCTTCTTCCAGGAATCGGAAATCGTCGAGATCGAAGCGGATCGACTCGTCGTCGTTGTCCTCGTCGACGAATCGCACCGGAGGGGTCGACGCGAGCCCGGCGCGCGGGCGCCTGCGCGGCGGGCGGGCGCGCGAACACGCCGCGGCGCCGGGCCGGGAGTGCGTGAGGCTGGGCGGGCGGCACCCGGAATGGGCGGGAGCTCGGCGCCGCCGGGGAGCGCGCGAGCGCCGCGGGCCCTCCAAAAAAGGCCCGCCGGCTGGGGCCGCTACGGCTGCGCCGGGGTGAAGCGGGGAAGCGGGGGGTCCACCTCTATCTATAGGGAGCAAGCAGCGTCAGAAGCGTGGAACTCGGAGGTCCGCGCGGATTCCTGGGAGCGGCGCCGGACACCCCTCTCCGGCGCGCGGAGCGCGCCAGGGGGGGGCGCGGGAGGCGCCGCCAGGGGGCCCCAGCGCCGATCCGAGGGATTCCGCGCGGACCTCTGATTTATTATTCTTATGTTATGGTTTGTTCCCCGAGTATAGTAAGGATGCGCGGTAAGGCTGCAAGGGCCTTGGACGCCCATGCCGAGGCTCTTCGAGCGGGGCTGACCTAAGATGACCGAGGAGGCAAAGGTGCAAGAATACCCCTTGGAGGTCGCTCATCCTTACTATCAGGGTTGACTGTACGGTAGGTTCGTGCGGCGTTGGCGCGCGCAAACGTTTTTGACACCGCGTCGATCGTTCTTTGCATCCTGAGTCGTTTTTTGACGCTCCCGAGGCCCGGTGAGGGCCCCCGGAGGCCGAAAATTAGGAAAAACCTCCCGTCATGTTTTTTTCATTACTCGAGGGGGTCTGCAACCTTGAATCGATCGCGGCCCCCAACGTTCAAAATTGAATGCAGTCGGGTCCAGCGGCGATGCCGTGTCCATCGATGTTTCCTCGTCGCAGAATTCGACCTTGGACGCCTTCGCTGGCGCCGCCGGCGCGCCGTCCCCGCACGAACCGACCGTAATTAGGAGAGGGGGGGTGGGAGGATGAGCGGCACAATCAGCAGGACTGGGACTGTAGAATGACTCGGGAGAGAAATGGAGGGAGCAGGAAGCGGAACACGGGGGGAGAAACGGGATGAAGAGGATGAGAGGACCAAGAGGGAAACGGGTGTAGGGGAAGGAGACAATGGACCAGGGGGAAGAGCGAAGAGAAGGCGGGGAGGCAGGAGATGGGACGAGGTATGATGAGCCTCAGGGAAGACGAGGCAGACTCTGATGAAAGGGTGGGGGGGGGGGGGTCAAGAGTGGGGGGAGCATGAGTCCATTTAGCCAGGTCGAACGAGTCAGTGGGCCCCACCCACCCCCACCCTTTGTTCCGCAACAGATGGCAGGCTCCGGAAACCCGGAACCTAAAAATGCTGCTGTCTCTTAGGGGCGCATCTCATACTTCCGCCGGCTTCCGCGGAGCGCTTCCGCGGAGCGCTTCCGCGGAGCTTCCGCCGGCTGCGGTCGCCTCGCTTTACTCCCGCCGCCCTCCGCCGAGGAGGAGATGGCAACTCCTTCGATCCTCGAGGGCGAGGCCCTTTCTGGAACGCCTCGTGTGAACCAGTGGTGGCGCAGCTTGACCTGTTGGCCTGGCGCACAGGTGCCGCCGTAGCGAGCGGAAGGCGCTCGCGCGCGGTCGTGCCTCCGTCGGCCTGGCGACGCGACAAAGCAGCGGCCGCGCACGGGCGCTCCATTCTCTTGCGGCGCTGCGGCGAGAGAGCCGCCCGGCCAGAATTCCGATGAACGCGGGGAGGACGAATGATAAGTAATGAGCCGCGCCGGAGCAACACTGCGAAACTTTCACGCAACATCTGCGCGGCGCGTGGGCGAGAACACCCGTTCGCCCGCTCTCTCGCGGCCCCGCTGCCAATGCCGCTTCGCCGCGACTTCATGCGTCGCGCCGGAGCGGGAACGCCTCTTCCGCGCGGAATCTGCACGGGGCTTGGGAGAAGGCGACAATTCGCCCGCTGGCGCGCGGCGAGTAGAAAAACAGGCGCCGCTCCAAAGCTGGAACGCCACTTTCGGGCGAAATCGGCGCGGCGCCCGAAGCAAAGCGGACGTGGCGCCTGCTCGCGCACTACCCTGCTGTCGACGATTTGCCGAAAAAAAAGATGCGCGCCAGGCCCGCGCGGTGGCGCATGTCTTAAGAAAAGTGAGCGGGACGCCAGCGCGAAAGCGCCTTTTCGCGCGCTATGCGCGCCCCGTCCACTTCGCTGCGTGCCTCGCATTTTGTAACGTCGATGTTGAGAAGACAAAGGCCATGTTATGTTTTTTTTTTCGATCGGTATGATGACCTCCCGGATCCGGTGGCTATCGACTGACGATGTGGCAGAGTGTATATACATACATACATACATACATACATACATACATACATACATACATACATACATACATACATACATATATAAGGGGGCGGGGAGAAACGAGGGTTCGTGCCTGTTTCTCTCAGAGCGGTCTTGAACCGAAGTGTCGTCGAAAAAGCGTCTCGATAGGAACTGCTCTTTCCAGTCCGATCTCGAGTGCACTTTACGCGCCGCCAGCCCCGTAAGGCTATTCCCTTATAAGCCTGTAACTTGCACTACAAGTCACATCATCTAGCCTAACTCCTTTCAGCATGGCAATACATAGCATAGCACCGCACAGCTGGATTAGGGGTTCTGTACACGCATATATATATTTACACATGGTTATACAACTATATATATATGTGTATATGTACAAGGCTGCATTGGCGCTTCGCGCCATGCAGCGCCATGCACCATGGTTCTTGAAGTTTGGCATGCAGGCGGAATGGCAAGACGGTCAAACAGACAACGTAGCGATAATTCCTTGTTGCCTTTTCTGGCATCGCCGCTATACTAATGTGATTCGTTATCCTTCCTCCATGTTTCTTTTTCCTCAATCTCGCCCTGCTTGCGACGTCTTCCCCATCGACCTCAGCTCTTTTTGCGGAGGCTCCTTCTAGCAGAGCCTCTGGGGGCATCACGAAGTTTTTCGGGCTATCTAAAGTCCTTCAGGAGGCCTCCTGGGCGTCTTCTGGAGGCATCTGGGGGCTTCCTCAGGCCACCCTCACCCTGCCTCCAGCCGCGGTCTCCCTGAACGACCAGGTCACGATTTGGAATGCTTCGGAAGGCGTCTTGGGGCCATTTTGGGCCGTCATGGGGCTCTCTTAGGTCATCTTGAAACCCTGGTGTGCCGTCTCGGGGCTTTACTGGATCCCTTTCGGATGGTTTTGGTGCGATTTACGAGCCTCCCAGGCGGTCTTGGACGCCTAGAAGACCGAAGAACAAGGCATTCCCCAAATCATGCAAAAACATTGGAGAACCAATGTTTTTTTTCTGCGTTCTGGAAAGCTCTTTGGGGTCTTCTTTGGGTCGTCTTCGGGCGTTTGGTGGGTGTCTGGGGCCTCTTGGGGCCCTTGGGGGGGCGTTTGGCTGCCCTTCTGACTTATCTGGGCCAGTTGCATAGGCCCAGCAAGGGCTTTCAGGAGCTCTGAAACGCCTGGGGGGCCTCCTGCAAGGGCGTCCAAGGGGTCCCCAGGGCCACGGATCCGAGGGTCCAGAGGGTCCCGGTCCCGGAAGCCCAGGATGCGGGGGATCCGATTTCGGGGGGGAGCCTTCCCAAGAAGTAGCCAAAATGCATGGGAATCCACACATCATAGAGACTCTGGGCAGGAGGAGGGCGCATCCACGGTCGGGCGCAAGAGCAACCAGAGCAGCAACAGGAAACATCTGGGGGGGTCCGATCGCTTACCCAGGCATCGATGGGGTATGGGGTAGGGTTTGTAATTGGGTCCCACGGAGGACCCA